ATCAGCTTTAGTGGGAAATCAGAGTAAGAAACTAGAACTGGGCATCACATCTACATATTTTGATGCAGAACATGGTCATCTTAACTGGGAGTATGTATGAACTTGCTGTCACATTTATGGTCTCAGAAACTCTATAAATCAAAATGAAGTGTCTTCATACATGAGTCACCATTCACAGGAAAAACAGCTGAAATGTTAGCTATAGAGAAAATAATTTACAGAGGTATTCTCACTACATTCCAATGCTGAATTTTTCAGTTTCGTCTACTATATAGAGATGATAAATCAATTTAGAAAGATCTTATATCTGACTTACATCAATGAGTTAAAGAAAGAAGATGAGAAGCTATTGAGCTTTTCAAAGTTTAATCTTGTTGTTAGGGCCGGTGCCATGGCTCACTTGGTTAATCCTCCGCCTGCAGCACTGGCATCCCGGTTGTTCCTCTTCCAGTCTAGCTCTCTGCTGTGGCCTGGGAGGGCAGTGGAGGATGCCCAAGTACTTGGGCCCCTGCATCCGCATGGGAGACCAGGGAGAAGCACCTGGCTCCTGTCTTCGGATTGTCGCAGTGCTGGCCGTAGTGGCCATTTGGGGGGTGAACCAGCGGAAGGAAGACCTTTCTCTCTGTCTCTCTCTGTGTCTATATCTCTACCTGTCAAATAAAAAAAAATCTTGTTGTTAATGATTTAAATTTATGCCTAGCACTTCAGAAAATATTATTGTTCATGCTTATGGTGGCCATAGGATAATGAGTGAAAATACAAAAGTCAAGAAACATATATTAGTAGATGAAAGGATATTTGTCTATTTAAAAATATTCACCAAAATTAGGTAAATTTAATGAGCTAAGACTTAATTTTGTCTTTATTATAAAGGTTAAGAATTTTGTTTGGGTGTATTCTCTTTCATGGGTAGAATACCTCTAACATGAATCTGAAGACAGCTTCTCTATTATAGAATTGTCAAATACCATTTTTGTATGTCATTTCCAAGGTACTAGTTTTCTATTCCTTTATTCCTTTTTCTTGCTTCTACTTAAACATCTTCTAAAAATTACTATATCTCTACTTGCTTTGTTTTCTTAGATTTATTCTGAATTAAAAATTGGAGTAATGCAAGACAAACTGGAGATCTAATGTATAGCATAATGCCTATAGCTAATTACACTATATTGTATACTTAAAAGTAGGGAATCCTTTTTTTAAGAAAAAACATGTTTATTTGAAAGACAGAGTTACAGAAAAAAAGAGAGCAAGAGAGAGAGGAAGAGAAAGGGAGAAAGGGGAAGAGTCAGGCTGAATCCAAGAGCCAGGAATTCCATCTGGGTCTCCCACATGAAGCAGGGGCCCAAGCATTTGGGCCACCTACCCTGCTTTCCAGGTGAATTAGCAGGTAGCTAGATTGGAAGCAGAGTAGCCAGACTTGTATTGGTGCTTCAAATGGAATGCTGGCATCACACACAATGGCTTAACCTGCTGAGCCGCAACATGGGCCCTGAGGATAGATTTTATGTTAAGTGCTGTACCACACACATATATGCATGTGCAAATACACACATGTGTAGGCATACATACTGTCCACCCCCAACACACACAAAATAATAAAGTGGGCGTGGGAACACTCATGGAGATGATGATATATTTGTCATTTTGATGTGGTGACAGTTTCACTCATTGAGTACTCTTCATTGTATACAATATTTGCATGCAAATCACACTCAATAAAGTACTTTAAGAAGTAAAAATATACTTAAAAGACAAGACATTTTCTTACTGTATAGCAATTCTAAGGTCATAGATAATATAACAATTTTAAAACTAAAGAATTAAACAGTCATATGGATATATCTGTCTTTTTCCCCTATATTTCTATTTTTTCTGAGAAATTCTTTAATTAAGGGGAAACAAATAACACATAGATTAGAAGAAGAAAATTATAACAGGTGTTGATGTACACATAAATACATCTGATCTGTGTGGGTGGGGACTTTCACATAAAATTCAGAAAAAATATTTTATTCGAGAGTTAAGAATTTATGTACAGGAGAAAAGAGCTTATATATAGAAAGGTTTGCAAATATTGTAGGGTAAAGATGGGCATTTCTCATTATCTGAATTTGAACAGTATATAAACAAAAGCATAAACTTAAAAACTTACACAATGAGTTGTGAATCTTGAAATAAGAAAAGACTTATGTAATTACTCCAAAAGTCCTTCAATTTCTACAGGTTTTGCAAATACATATACAAATATGAATGATGTTAGGAACTTTATCGGGAAGATTAGCATAGAGTGACAGGGACGTCACAAGTGTCATCCAGAGGCCTACAGCTCAGGCAGATAAGGTTTGCAATTTTCTCAAGGCAACTTAAAGTCTTTTGAAAAACCTTTGGTAAAAAATTATACACAACAAGAAGTTAAGAATGCATTGATAGTATTTGATGCGTAGGGAAATGTACAATTTATTTGTCCCCTTCTTCTAAGATGATTAAGAAAGTTTCCACATTTCCACTCGTGACAATGTGACTGGCTTGCTGGCTGTGATTGTTCACGTACCTTGTAGTGATAATAGGCAGTTGTTTGGACACTGGAACCTGATCACACATGAAGGTATCATGATTTTGAGCAGAATCCCTAAGAGCCATCACTTTGTTTTGCAAATTTTCTTGTTCTTTTTATTTTGATTTGACAGTATTTTGATGGATATGTAATTTTCTCCTTCAGTTAGGTTCCTGAATTGAGAACAAATAAAGGAGTCAGGCGAGCAGAGCCATAATTTGTTGCACCCAAACCAAACTTATCTTTTAATACCATTTTTATAATTTAATTCCATTTTCTATGTATGTTTTGAAGTACCCACATATACAGTTACACATGTATAAACACACATGACAAGTAATAGAAGTAAAACAAAACTATAATGCCGCACTATTTATCATTTAACTGAAATAATCAATGGATTGAGAGCTGATAGATTATAAATTATTATAGAACAAAAAATTGTTGGTAAGTGAGGAACTGTCAGGAAATCATGAAGTAATTTTACTGAAGCCTGTATTTCTTAGCTTTCATAAGAGACAACTGTTTTGACATTATTTGCTAAATGAAAAATAAGAGTAGAGCCTAAAATCCAGCATTAGAGATATTTTGTCTGATTCTTTTAAAGGAAGAATCATGTTATCCTTTAATTAAATATTAGGTAAGAAATCGACATGAATTTAATATGGGTGTCTTGTGAATATTTAGTAAAGGAATATGTGATTAAAAAAGAGACAGGATAAATTTAGAGAGAGATGTTAAGCCAGATTGCTGACATTTCCTTTGACATAAAGGCATTCCATTTAAAAGAAACCTGACATGTGTCTGAATTTCAGCAAAGGATAAGGCAAAAGTTTTTAGGTTCATAAGTTTGAGTTGATCACTAATATTATTTATTGATTTCCTAAAAAGTTAATAGCTATTCAAAAAATAATTAGTGAATTTGTGCATTGTTATGTTCATTGTAGCACAGGTCTCACTTTGTGTTTTTTTTTTTCTTTTAATTAATTTATTTGAAAGAGTTAGAGATAAACAACTTCCATCAGCTGGTTTACTCCCCAAATGGCCACAATAGCTGGGACTGGACCAGACAAAGCCAGGAGCCAGGAACTCCATACAGGTCTCCAATGTGGGTAAAGTAAGGGTCCATGTCCTTGGGCTATCTTTTGCTGCCTTCCCAGATGTGTTTGCAGGGAGTTCAATTGAAAGTGGAGCAACCAGAACTTGAACTGGCTCCTATGGGATGCTGATGTGCAGGCAGCAGCTTCGCCTGCGGTGCCACAATGCAGGTACCAATTCTTGCATTCTTACAGATGCCTTCCATATTCACCCAACGTCAACTTGCCTTCTCAATTGTTTACAACATCATCCTGCTCCCATCTTTGTGCCAAGTCTTTCCCTCTAGATAGTGAGCTACAGATAGTAGAGATTATGCCTATCTTGTTTAACAGTGTATTCTCTGCATGGAGATAGTGCTAGAAAAATTGTAGTCTGTCTAATATGTTTTTATTGAATGGAGGGAAAAGCAGTAAGAGGAAGGAGGAATGCAGGGTGAGAGAGAAGGGCTTATTTGGGGTTGGTCTCAGCAAAGCTGAGGATGGTGATGACAATTTTGACAACCAACGATACTGGTTTAATCAGCACTAAAAAATGTTTAGGAGCTTTAAAAAGAAGCAGGGATAGTTATGCATTCCAGAATTACAGATGCCAAGTGCCAAATTTAGCAAATGTGTAATAAATGTATTCTTATTCCTTTGTGTTTTGATTTAACTAGCGTTTATTGAACACAGCGCATCTGTCAGGTGTAGGTGATACAGAGATAAAAACGTGTGTTAATTGACCTAAAGAAGCCTTAGAAAAACAGTCTGCTTTGGGGAGAAAGAAGGAAGGTTGGAGCCCAGTAACTGTGTAAAAATAAATTCAAACAGATATAAATGCAATGCTTTTTAAGCTCAAGCTCAGAATAATGTGGTAATTGTATAGACTGCAGATCAAAGTATAAGGTTTGATGTTTTCTAAAGCATTTTGTTAATCATTTAAATACATTTCGTGTTCCTTTTTAAATGAAAAAGATTGTTTATTTGAAAACCAGCCAACAGAGAGAGAGGGAGACAGGAAGGTCTTCAGGAGCTAATTCACTCCTCAAATGCCTACAATGGTCATATCTGGGCTAGGGTGAAGCCAGGAGCCAGAAATTCCATTGTGGTCTCCCATATGGAGACAGGGAACCAAGTTCCTGGGCAATTTTCTGCCTTCCCAAGCACATTGGTGGGAAGCTGGATGGGAAGCAGAGTACCCAGGGCCTGAATTGGTACTTTAATATGGGATGATAAGGTCCCAAGCAGTGGGTTAAACCTCTGAGCCACAGTGCAGGCCCTTATTTTATATTCTTTCTAACATTGAAGATACACTATATAATGTTCATTTTCTTTTAGATTAATATCACATTTCACAATAAGAATTTTATCCCTTTGATTTCTAAATTATTCAGAGTGCTGAATTTGTGGTTTACTTCTCATAAATCTCTTACAGCAAAATTATTGCAATCAAAACTAAATTAATGAGCTTGATCTAAGTATGCTATTAAAATTAAAAATAAAACTTGGTGTAGGTGTTGTGGCATAGTTGTTAAAGCACTGCTTGGAATGCCCACATCACATATCAGAGTGCAGGTTTGAGTCCTAGCTATTCTGCTTCCAATCCAGCTTCCTGCAAATGCACATTGAAGGAGTGAATGATGGCCCAAGTACTTGTTTCCTGCCACCACATGGGATATCAGAATGGAGTACCTGGCACCTTGCTTCAGCCTGGACCAGCCCTGGCTTCTGTTGGCATTTAGGGAGTGAACACCAGATGGAAGATGTCTCTGTATGTCTCTGCCTCTCTCTGTCACTCTTTTTACTTTCAAAAAAGTAAATGAATATTTAAAAAATGCAATGAAAACTTCAATTATATTTAAACTCACTTGAAAGAGCAAGCATTTTATTAATGTTCCTAATCAAAATATTCCATACGTCCATCATTACCTAACAATCAAACACAAGGGTATTTCAAAAAGTCTGTGACAAATGAAAATAAAAGTTTACTACAGTGCAAAGAATTTTGGAAAACCACACACAGATTTTTCATAATATTCACTTTCCATGAAATTTTTAAAGTACCCTCATATATGTTAAATATGGAATATTTGGTGTTCAATGGCTGTTTAGTAGTATTTGACTCAAATAGCTTGAAAATCCAGTATATCTAATGTCATCACTCTAGCATAGTAAAAATGTACACATCCCACTATTAATTTATTAATGGTAATTTAGAGCAGAATAGCTTCAGAACTTGTTGATTGTAGTTTAGACCAAATCTTTTTATTTTTTAATAAAGATTTATCTTATTTATTTGAAATACAGAGTTACAGAGAGAGGTAGAGAGAGAGGTCTTCCATCAACTGGTTCATTCCTCATATGACCACACCGGCCAGAGCTGCGCTGATCCAAAGCCAGGAGCCAGGAACTTCTTGCGGCTCTCCCACGTGCGTACAGGGGCCCAAGGACTTGGGCCATCTTCTACTGCTTTCCCAGGCCATAGCAGAGAGCTGGATCAGAAGAGGAGCAGCCAGGACTAGAACCAGCACACATATGGAATACTGGCACTTCAGGCCAGGGCTTTAACCCACTGAGCCACAGTGCTGGCCCCTAGACCAAATCTAAATGGAATAGCAAACACACATGTGCACAGATAAAAAAAAAAAAGGTAGTCTCATAGTAAGCATAAACAAAACCAGTTTAGAATAAGCAGGTCAATCCAACACATAGATGCTTTATCAGTGCCTTTAATTGGATGAAAGGAGGTTTGCCACCACTCAAATATGATGCTTATGTCGGAGTGTTATAAAACATATTCCTCTTAAGAGCAGAGGGGGGGAAATAATGAAAAGCATGATGGACCTTAAATAACAGCTCAACAGTCATGCTGTATAATTGCTTTTCATCCTTTCTATCAGCAGCAAGGCTTTAAAACATTGATCAAAGATGATGACTATCACAAAGTGCTTAAAGTGCAGCACATTGTTAAATTTCCTCAGCCTCTGAAATAATTATAGCATGAGCAAGCACAAAGATGATTCCTCCACCTCCACCCACCTCAAATGATTTTCCAGCCAAGGTAGATAGGATTAAAGAAAGCTGACATGAATGAGCTATATTAGAACATCAATGTCAAAAGATATATCAGAGGCACTTGCTTACAAATGATAAAAATACCGTGAACATTTCACATTAATGCACACCAGAATTCAGTCATTTTCCTCACTGACAAACACACTTTTGAAATATCCTGTATATGCAAAGCATACACAATGGATGCGGAAAGTGCAGCACAGAGAAATGAGAAGTGTTTATTGATGATATAAAGGAGATAGCCCTCAGCTGCTAGAACTTTACAAATAAATAGAAGAGAAAAACCTTTTATCCATTTATTTCAATAGTAGGTAAATATACTTTAAAATTATGATTATTTATTTGAAAGGTGGAGAGAGATCCCACCCGCTGGTTCATATCTCAGATTCTCACAGCAGCTGGGACCGGTTCAGACAGAAGCCAAGAGCTTGGCTCTCAACTAGGTGACAAGGACCTAAGCGCTCTGGCCACTACCTACTGTCTCCCAGAGTGCACCTATCTGGAATCTGCATCCAGGAGTGGAGCCGAAATCCTAACTCAGGGACTCCAGTAAGAGAATTAGGCTTCCCATGTGATGTCTTCATCACTGTGCCAAACATCTGTCCCAGTAAATGGCTTTTTAAAAATATATATTTTTAGTTTCTACTAGATAGGTATTCTACATGTGGCTTTATCAAAGTCTAGCCATACTAAATTTGCATCACCTGATAAACAATGACTTATTGAAATCTACATTACTATGTGTAGGGACACAGGTGCTTTGTAGTTGTACTTTGGTCTCCAGGCCCCAACCTTTTGATCCATTTGATTTCCACCCAACAGAAATGAAGAACCACCTGCCCCAAGTGCTCACTCTGCTGTTTCTAATACAGAGCATCACCTACTTACAGTTGGAGAGATTTGCAAGAGAAGGGAGATCTGGTATTGAATCTCAACAAATGGTATAACTGGTTAGCTGTTTCAATCTCCCTTAGTCTCCAGTATTCTATGGTCTGTCAGTTGGTGGAGGAACACATTGCTGGTGGCAGTAATGGGCCCATCAGCGCTCAACCCCTGCCTTCTCTCTTTTCCTTACCCCTTCCACTGTATTACCATCACCCTCCAGAAAAAGTACTCTTGGAGTGATTCTAAGTGCTTTTCTTCAGATTAGCTTTTAGGAAAGAAGCTAAACTCACAGGGCGTTTATGGTACTGAAAGTAATGACAGAAACAGGCCCTCAAGATGAGAATTGGGAGCTGGCTTCCTCTCAGTCCCAGTGGCAACAAGGATATCACTAGTGAGGATAAATCAGATCCTGATTATTGCCAGTTTGCTTTACTGCCGCAGGTTTGATTCTCCACTGTGAAGTGTTAAATGAGGATCAGGTGGAACGAGATGGGGACATAGGCGTAATAGCACTAACATTTGGAAGCCACTGCACAAGGTATTTCGAGGGCTTGCAGTGAGGTCTCGACTTTTTTAGTTGTTCCAGAAGCCTTAGTGCTAAAGATAATCAGGCTCAGCTCACTGCTGTTAAGTTATGACCACCCCATGCTAGAAAGTCCAGAAGAGTTTCATAACAACAAAGGAAAGCCAGCCTAGGATTTAATCATGGAGTTGAACTGTAAAATACTCGGAATGTTCAGCTTTTGGAGGCTTTCTGACGTCAGAGAGAGATGCGGCGTTGAATGAGGAGGACCTGAGAACTTGCATGAGTCACTGGGAAAGAGCGACCTGCCAACTGCGACCGGTGGATATTCTTGAGCCGTGGAAACATCAAGAAGCAGCATTGTCGCTATTGCTTGATGGCGAGCTTCCTTTGTCCGAGGACAACGTAAAGAAATGAGCTGAGGTGAGTGTGCCTTATATTTCTCTCTTAAGATGATCCACATATTTGACTCAAAGCTATACATATCTTAACTGTTGGTCTGGGCCAGAAAGGACAAAATAGTCTCGGCTACAAGCGAAGACTCCCCCCGAAAATTTCACAACTGGCGTAGTAGGTACGTATTTACGGCATATATAGGAAAGCACAGGAGTGGATATTAAGGATGTTTGATGCATGAATGAGTAACACAAGGTTGGAAAATAAAGCTGGATTTATCGGGGAGCACTGTAGAGTGAGACAAAGGATAACATTCTGTATGTACACCTGGAGCTGATCTAAATGTAACCTCGAAGAAATCCCTGAAGCTCGGATGCAAGACTTCACTACCACAAGCGCTGTGAAGATTCCAGGAACTCTTAGAGTAGGAAGGTAGAGTTTACAGCAGTGAGCCTGAGAAAAATCTTTTTTAAAAAAACAAGACTATAGGTTTTTTTTTTTAGCTGGACTATGCCTTTAATGGTCCAAGAGGACACTAAAGCAGTATGCCATGCACTATCAGTGTACAAGGGGGAATAGAAAAATTATGGGGGATTTGCATTATCTTTTAATTCCATTTTTCACAAACTTTTAAAAACCGCTTGTATGTGATGAAGGTTAATGGTGGCTATTCTTTGTAGGCTGGGATTGAAGGCAGGTAGTGCTTCCATGGAGCTACATCTGATAGTATCCTGGTGTAGCAGAGGCCAGATGATGGTATTTAGAATCAAGGTGTGCATGATTATAATGCAGTAAAAAAGTGGTAATAGGGTGGCTTTAGCCAAATAAATCTTTGGTTCTGATTCTGTGATTATTGGACAGTGGTGATCTCAGAGAGGAGAGAAAGGAGTGACATTGAAGTTATTGCTTGACGTATTATTTAGCCATGATAAGTTATTAATCAACTGCCTGCTTCCTAAGTGTTGTGCTAAAGTTTCAGTTCAATCTGATATCCTGCCAGTAATTCTATTTTTGGCTTAAGCTGGTTAGATTCACTCTCTGGCAGGTACACTTGAGTTTCTTTTTTACTAGATTACATCTTCAGAGAGCAGAAAACATATTCTATCCATCGTTTTATTTCCAGTTCTAAAAAGATAGGCATAGTGCCTAATGCATGGTTTAAATGCAAGCATTTTATGGATTGTAAGAAAAATATGTAAATAACATTTTATGTGTGTAGGTGTAAGTTGTCCTGTTTGGTTGTAATTTGAGTGTACTACAATAAATAATGGAATATAAATTTTGAATCATGGGTAATAATCATGTGCAGATTTCAAAGACTGATATACTTTGTTAATTTGTTGGCAAGGCAAATGTTGTGAACTTACTATTTTTAAGGAAGCACATCATAGGAAGTATTTAAGATGTTTTTGAAAGATTTTTGGGAGGTTAGAAGAACAGAGTTTAGGTTAGTTTTTCAATTAGATCTCAGTAGAACATTGGTGAGAGTCATGTATTTGTTTTAAGAGCTATTACTAGAACTAAGAGTCGGAAGCACTCACAGTGGAACTGATAGCTAAACACACTAAATCTTGGAATATCTTTGCTAATGTCTTCCAAGACCTATATCCCATCAAAATTTTTTTAAAAAATTGTTATTCCTTTAGGTAAAAAGTCTTGAGAGAACTAGTGTTGGTGAATTTTCAGACCACATGTTTAATCATATCCCTTACCTGATATATAATATCTAGTATTTTCACAATAAATGCAAAATTAAATTCAACTGTCTTGACATTACCTATGAATTTCCTTAAATTTCCAAATTTTCATCTATTTTTCAGTCTTTTTTCAACCCATGATCTTCCAAGAATACACTTCTCTGTGTTCTCAAACCATTTTATATCTTTAGAAAATCTGTTCCTCCTTGTGTTTCTTGCTCTGTTTTATCTAAGATGTTCAATTTATAAGAATATATTTGCTCATAGTATTTCTCTGATATTCTTTAATGGCTGCGGGTCAGTAGTGATTCTTTAATGGAATTATGATAGACCATAATTAGGAACACAAAGTACTGTAAGAAATGCAAAAGAATAGTAATAATACATAGTTTGCTCTCACACCATAATATACCTAAACTGGAAATCAATAGCAAAACAAAAATCTGTAAAATACCAAATTATCCACACACACATCCCCACATAATCAAGGAATGCTCAAGGGAAATTCTCAGGGCTTCCTCAGGGCTGACTTCAATCTATTGTTTTTATTTATTTGTTTTTTGTCATCCAGTAGAGTATACATAGTTTCCTGTTTATTTGTGCTTTGTGACCTTTTGTTGAAAACTAGATATTTGTTCTTTTATGGCAACTCTGAATCTGACTCTTCCCACTCTTAATGGCTCACTCTCATGAAGTGTCAAAACATGCTATTACCAACTGGTTTACTGGCTTCTCCTTCTAATTATGAAGAGTATTTTTTATTGTATGTGCTCACTGAACTCTGTTCATTTAGACTATTCATCTGCTTTTTTATATTATCCATCTTTTGGACAGATTACAGAAACCAATTAAAAAAATCTCCCAACTTTGCGGATTGCTGTCTTCTGGGAGCACTTTACCATTTAGGCAATGTTTACAACTCTGCCTTACCTTCACTGTTTGCTGGCACTGAGTATAGAGATCAGAAAGTTTATCAATATCTTTGGTTTTCTGTGGCCATATCCTTCCTTGGCAGTGTGTATTTCATGCATTTCCAAGTATGAGCTCCTCAGTGCTCTATTGAAGCTCTCCTCAGCATTTCTTCCCCCACTTTGGACTGTCTTCATATATGTCACCACTGAAACTCTTGTACCGCAGTAAGCATGGGGTTTTGTTCACCTCACAAAGCAAGCTGATTTTCACCCAGAGTGAGCTCTAAGTTGGGCACAATAGAGACGAGCACCTTGCATCAGTATTTTGGGTAGCAGAAAGACAGTTTAGAAAGGACTTAGAGTGACTTAAAAATAAGTCTTTCCCTGTTCCTTCTGGAACAAATTATTTGGATCACACACTGGAAACACACACTTCTGCCTTCAAGGCTCTGCCCAAACCATGCAAAGGGAAGGAGTAGTATAAACAACTCAAACATTCATATAATATTTAATTTTTACTCTGCATTTGGTTGCTATAAGCAATTGCCTGTTTCCCAGAGTTCTTTAACAAGTTAATTTTGGCAATATCCACTAGTCTTTTTTTTTTTTTTTTTAATTTCTGTTGGGGGATGGACATTTGAATTTACCTTTTCTTATCTATTTCTTCACTTCAGCTTTAATGTTTAGGCCATTCACATTTATTAGATTCAAGTCTAGCATTGCTAATTGTTTTGTATTCCATATGTTCTATTTTATTAACACTTCTTTGCATCCAGTTGTGTATTTTATCATTTTGTTTTACTCCTTTGTTGGCCAATTTTTAGTTTTTCTAACTTTGCTGTCTTCCTTAGAGTTAATGAACATTTCAAAATAATTTCAGTATATTTTGAATGATGTTATACTACTTCATTTGTGGTCTTGTGTGGGTATAAGAACTCCCTAACAGTATTTGCCTATCTCCTGCTGCCATTGTTGTCATGCACTCATTTTTATATCAACAGAATCACAACTATTTTATGATTAAAACATGATTGTGGTGGAATGAAGGTAAATAGATTTACATTAATTTTTTTTGTATTTCCAATGCCTTTCATTTCTTTTTGTAACTATGAGATTTGGGTCTATGTAATAATTCTTCTTCCTGAACTTGTCTAATAAAGTGGATAATCTAGCATTTTTTCATTTTTCTTTAAAGTCTGTTTTCTTTCTTTAAATTTCATTCATTAATGTGCTGAGTGACACTCAACTGCGCATATTTTGACATGTTATTTGTGACAGCGTTACACATTTTAAGTCTTTTTAAATTTCTGGCTTTTCCTTCCATCTTTTTCATTTCTTTATTTGTAATTTTTATTTTAGAAGAAACCAGATTGGTTACTCAGTGGAGGTCCCCCCATTCTGTCTTTTGCTGATTCCAGTGTTATTGTGGTATGTAACATGTTCCTTTGTTTTCTGTATTTCCTACAAAATTGGAAGTCAGCTATAAGTGGTAGCTCTGTCCATCCTGGTTTTTTTTTTTTTTTTTTTGAAGATTCATTAAAGTTATTTTGTAAGCATATTTTCATTTTCCATGAACGGGCTGTTTATTTTATGCAGCAAGATTTGCCTTTAAATTGGTATTCTCCATGCTTAGTGGATAGTTATTCTAGGTATAAATGAGGAAAATAACTTTTAAAAATTGTAACTGCATTTTCTTGTTTGTATGATTTGATGACATTATCTTTTTCTCTATAGGGAATGTGTCGATTTTCCTGTTATAGTTTTCAAAATTTTTCATTTGTGCATTTCACCAATCTGAATATAACATACCTACGGCTTTTATTTTGGGGTGTATGTACATATTATATAGCATGAATTCTTAAGTCTTGTATCTGTGGTTTGTGACAGATTGTGTAAAGTTAAAATTCTTCAATTATTCCTTTTTTATTGCCTTCCTTATGCTACTAACATCCTTTACTTGCCCATATTATCCTGCCCTGATTAGATGCTTATATCTGTAATGCCTTTATCATTTTGTCCTCTTTTTTTCTTTGCACCTCCATTTGGATAACTTTTATTAACCCATGCTATTTGATTGTTTCCTTGATTACATTTTTTACTACTTTTATTTTTTGTTTCTTAAATTTCTGTTTTATCTTTTTCATAGTTCTCTGTTGAATATATGTACCTGATTATTCATGTTACCTAACTTCTTAATTAGAACCTTTAATATATCAAAAATAGTTACATGAAATTTTCTGTCTGTGTTTAAAATCTTTGTAATATTTGAAGCAAGTTCTCATGACTGGTGTGGCTTTTTAGAATAAATAAAAATTATATGTGTCTGTTACTTTTGTTGAAAGTCAAATTGAATAGGACTACTAGATATTGAGGTTTAATTATTTTAAAAATGTATTTTCCAAAGTCTTCAGTATATATTATGTTGTAGTGTTAACTTGCATATAAGGAGGGGGCTATTTGCTAGGGAATTTTTTTAAATGCCTAAATTTTTCTTGATCTTGGGTCCATTTTCTTGGCTTAGTATCTTCTGTGGAGAACATCAGAAAAAAATCGCTTGCAGCTGTTCCAGTTGATGTACACTGGTATTTTGACATGGTACTCGTTAGTATAACAGAGCTTGAGGGGAGGGTGTTGTGGACATTTCTAAATGTACTGATTAAGTCTCAGTATTCAGCAGGTGCAGTGCCTCTAGAACTTTCTAGATGTCATAGTAAACACAGCATGTGCTCCTTTGCATCCCTAAGGTGCTGAATTATTGTCTTGTTTTCCTTTCTATTCCTTGGGTATTTCTGCCAACACCCTCATGTTAGAGTTGATACTTTGATGTGCCTGGGTTGGTATCAACAGTGGTTTTCTGTTGCCCTTTCAGATCCCCTGCCAGAGGAAGCCTTGTAGAAGAGTATTTTTCCCCCTGTTTTCTTGTTAGTGCCTCCTGTGGTTTTGGAAGGAAAAGTCCAAGAGGATATCAATATATGCTATTCCTGCATCTCGCATGTGCTTCACATGTTCATCATCGCACACACTTGATGATTTAGTAATTTGTTAAATTTCGAGCTGAATCACCTGAGTAGCTTAGTCCTGTTTCTACCTTTAATCATCTGCTGCTTTCCAGATTTTAGGTCAGTTGTTTGAAATCTCAGTGCAATTACATAAAGCAGTTAATATGCTGTTTTCTTGGTTTTCTGTTTTGTTTTTTGCTGGTAGAATGGAAACAACAATTCAGCCCTCAAAAATCTCGGCTGAAACAATTTCTTCTAGATCCATTTTGAATTTAAATTGTATAGAAAGGTATGTGATTCAATGTTTAGAATCCTCATAGGTGATCCAAGTTTCAACTTTCTCCTTTAATATTCATATAACATCAGGTACATACTTGACCTCTGATAGGTAAAAAGAGGAAACTGATACTAACCTTAAAGGATGGCCCAAGTCCTTGGGCCCTGCACCCCATGGGAGACCAGGAGAAGCACCTGGCTCGTGCCTTCGGATCAGCGTGGTGCGCCGGCCATGGTGGCCTTTGGAGGGTGAACCAATGGCAAAAGGAAGACCTTTCTCTCTGTCTCTCTCTCTCACTGTCCACTCTGCCTGTCAAAAAAAAAAAAGTACTGGTAAAATTACATGACCACAAATATGGATTGAGTTCAGTAAAGCATCAATTAAAATTAATTTCATTCAGTTCTCTTGCTATGACAATTTTTTTTTTTTTTTTACAGAGTGGATAGCCCATTCATAGAAAATGAAAAGTGGCACTTGGGCCATCCTCCACTACACTCCTGGGCCACAGCAGAGAGCCGGCCTGGAAGAGGGGCAACCGGGACTAGAACCCGGCACCCCGACCGGGACTAAAACCCGGTGTGCCGGCGCCGCTAGGTGGAGGATTAGCCTATTGAGCCGCGGCGCTGGCCACTATGACAAAATTTTAACTTTGTATTGGTGGTTTATGAGTATATGTGTCCTAACTTAATACTGAGTTCTCTGAAAGTTGGATTATTGCTTAGATTAGAATAAATTGCACTTTCCCAGTGCTCACAACGCAGTAATTTTTGCTGCAATATATTTTATGCATCCAGGTGCATTTAAAACCAATAAGTAAGTCGTGCTTAGGAAAAGATTTACCAAATGTATTTTAGGGATGAAATTTTCTTGCCAGATGGCTATTACATTAAATTGTCAGGGTAATCAGCCACAGCGGGGAGAACTCTGACCACAAAGAGGTATTCTTCCCTGGAGCTCTTTGGATAGGGATGAGTTAGATCACAAGTTTTACAATTAGATAACCTTGATATTTCCTGATTTTCTTAATTTCTGTGGGGATTTAAAAATATTACTTAACCTCTCTGTGGCTTCATTTTTCTTCTTGTCAGTACTTTCCAGAATTCTGAGAATTATACATAATTCTACTTCTAATTATAATTCTAAAAAGACTAAAAAGGAAACTCCAGAGAATATTGGGGCTGTTCTGTTCTGTGCCTCCAGATGGAAATCATTTATTTAAATTAAATTATTTTTATCATTTGAAACAGAGAGGGTGGGGTATGTATCTTCTACCCACTAGATAACCCCACAAACATATGCCTATAACAGCCAAGCTTGTGCAGACAAGAGCTGGGAAACTTGGGTTTGCCATGTGTACAGTGTGTGACTCAAGTATGTGAGGCATCACCTGCTGCCTCCAAGGGTGTGCAGTAGCTGGGAGCTGGAACTGGAAGCAGCTTGAACCGAAGCATGTTAATGTGGGATATGAGTGTCCCACACAGGATCTTTTTTTGTTTTTGACAGACAGAGTGGACAGTGAGAGAGAGACAGAGAGAAAGGTCTTCCTTTTTCCGTTGGTTCATCCCCCCAGTGGCCGCTGCAGCCAGCATGCTGCAACCGTCGCACTTCTCTGATCTGAAGCCAGGAGCCAGGTGCTTCTCCTGGTCTCCTATGCCCACGCAGGATCTTATCCACTGCACCAAGCATCGTCCAAGCTAGACACTGATATTGTTGTCATTTCTGATTTTAGTGAACTTTAGTGCTTGATAAATATAAATTAATTTTAGTATCTTTTTCTGAGAGAATCATGTAATTTTATTAGATACTTTAAAAAAAGGTTTTCAATGCACAAAAGAAGCTATCTATTTTCAGAAACAAGGAAAAGACAGATATCTTAATAAAAAATTGGTTATACGGAGAATGTGAACTCTTTACAAACTCACTTTTTCCCTGATCCAGTGGTCAAGTGCCAGAAAATTATACTTAATATTGTAGAACTCAGCCAATTTTGAAAATCAACAAATATGCTTGTGCTTTTCTCTATAAATTTTAAATAAAGATTAGTATTAAACTTAGAATTATATCCTGTTCCTCTTCCAAACAATTGTATTAACACAGGTACTCTGTCTAGGGGATAGGAGTCTGTATCAAATAATCTCCCAAGATCTATTCCCTTCCTCTAATGATTAATTAGAAGGTACAGTAGTTTACTGAGAATTCTAGGAGAATTTTAATGTTGATAAGGTTGGGATAGGGTCAAGAAATTATGCAGTGTCTTGTTTCTGTTTACTTTGCATTTTTTTACCAACTTTTTTTTTTTTAACCTTTTGCCTATTTTTTTCTAAGCTCCCCATCTGGGGAAATAGTGGTTTAAATCTATGATGATGGAATTATTGGCTCAGATTTATCACATGTTTCTTAATTACTAAGCCCAAATTGATCCACCCAGCCAGATCTACAAACAAATTTGCTAGATAAAGTTATGTCAACTGAAGGACATGAAGAGAACTTCAAAATATTCACTTCTTTTTTTTTTTTTTTTTACAATGTGAAGGAAGTGAAGAAGAAGGAAACTTTTGATACTGTAGAATCTTTATAGTCATATGCTTTGAAGGGGGCTCCGGAGACTATTGGGACTGTTCCATTCCATGCCAGTGACAGAAATAATAGAAATGGAATTTTATAGCAATGCTAGTGTCTAATATATCCATTTATTTAATATAAAATTTTGATGACACGACTGCTTTAAAAACACTGATTCATACAGAACATGGATTATGTTATCATTTTCAATATGGAACTCCTATTACAAAGTCTGTCAGCTTTTTAATGTGCTTATAATTTATCATATATAAATATTGTGTGTCCTTACCTTCCTTATCCCCGTCCAATTTTTTTCTAAACAATACAATATCTATGCTTTCGTGCTTAAGATTTCAGTCTTTTTCCCTAAAACAGGCACCTAACCGACCAATTGCATAGAGTATCAAGTTAGCATAGTAAGAAAATATGCAGTTCATCTGTGACAATAATTCTATGAGAAGAAAATTGTAATGCCTTAGTAAAAATGATACATCTTACACAATATTCATTTATTTCATTGTATTTATTTAAAAGGCAGAACTATAGAGAGAGGGGAGTGGGGAGAGATACAGAGAGAAAGACAGACACAGACAAAGATCTTCCATCCACTATTTCACTCCCCAAATTGCCACAAAGGCAGGGACTGGGCCAGGCCGAGCCAGGAGCCAAGAACTTCATTCAGGTCTCCCACATAGGTACAGGGGAACAGGACCTCGGGCCATCCTCCACTCTTTCTCAAGTGTATTAGCAAGGAGGGGGATCACAAGTAGAGCAGCCTGGCCTCAAATGAGCACCTATATGGGATGCTGGTGTTGCAGACAGCAGCTTAACCCCTTACACCACAGTGCTGGCTCCCAATATTCATTTTTAAAGCTATCATTACATGCACAGATGTTGCTGAAATTCAATTCTGACTAGATTCTGATTTATTTTGGAAAATAATGTTTTAGGGCCAACTTGGTTCTTTTCTATCACCTCAAATATAGACATTGATATGTTTTCCCTGAATTGTGGTAACTAATATACAGAGTACAAAAAATGTAACGTATATGAGCAAAATTGACATTTTGAGATTTGATTATTGTTTATAGCCCTTGTCTATACTCTTGAGGAACAGTTGTTCTACTTGTTGAATTCTGCATTTAGTAGATTATAAAGTAAATTGAAAGAATATTATTATAAACATTAAAAGAAAAAAAAAAGGAGTAGGAAATGTGGGAGCGATGGAGGGAAGGAGTAAGAATAGTGGGAAGTATCATTAAGCTCCTAAAATTGTGTACATGTAATACATGAAATTTGTTCCTTTTATATAAGAGTTATATATAAAAAGAGCTAGCATAGAGCCCAACCAGACCATATTGCTGCTCATGTAAGCCTCGTGCCCTCTTCCTTTCTTTCTTTCATAGGACTTCAGTAAGATACGTAATCTTATCTTTAATTAGTGGAGATGATAGCCTACATTTTGTTAAGGCTATGGTAAATTCAAAATGTTGCTTCATTAGACACAACAAGGTCTTAACGTTTTCATGAAATATATGTGGCAGAGTTTCAGGAAATGTAATGGACTGCTCTCATTTTACTCATGAGGGCATTATCCTCATCATCAGAAATGAATCTTAAAAGGAACATATGTTCAATATTTCTTTTGGTAGAAGATGACAATTAAATATCTGAAGGAGGATGAGTGGATCAAAGTGGAGAGGAAATAGAGATGGATGTAGTCAGGAGTTAAATAAGAAACTCACTCATGAAATTTACTTGGAAAGCTCTCAAGGATAGAAAGTCTAAAGAGGAGTTAATTAAAATAAATGTAAGCATCACTGCCTAATTGTAATCATTTTCCTCCTGTACCTACTTGATCTCACTTTAATCCTCACATTCTAAATATAAAATAATGGTCAGCTTTAGTAATTACTTTGCAAAAGCTAATCCATCAATGACATTTGAAGAAACTAAGGGATCTCACAAGGATTTTGTTTTTGTAAAATAGAGATTACTTCGTTACTTTTTAACCTTAAGCATAAATTGGACATTGACTAGATTAGTTTTCTACTTGGAAGGTGAATTTTCATATTCCTGCAATGTTACCTAGGATACCAAGCCCTTGCTACATTTAGACACCTGCATAATTGTTCTATGTATATTATGTCAGGTCACTTATGAGGCAAATAAAAGAAAATCATCTAGCAAAGTAACATTCTAATTAAATGATTTAAAAATAATATTTTGCTCATGTTTAAGCATTTTCAATCCAAAGAAAAAACTGTCTTTCTCTGGCATGCATTTTTAAATCAGTTTAGCACTGAATAATGCTTATTACTTGTAGTTTTCAACTTAATGTATTATCAAAATGTTTTATATTGATGTTGATGACAAAAAATTCTTCTGTATTTATTTGTTGAAGGCAATAGTAATTTTTAATTAAGCCTTTTGAATAATATTTGGATACCTATGTTCAGGCAAATGAACTATGTATCTAATAAAATTTAAATTGTAATAAAATATAAATTGCATTTCAGGACTAGATATTGTGCGAAAGGATTCAGTGGTTTTTACTTACCTCCCTAGCCTGCTTGCTCTCCAGAAATATTTATTTCAATATTAAATAGTAAGCTTACAAACTCTAGCGCACATTCCAAACTCTACTAATACATAAAATACAGATAACTCCGTTTTAAAAGCTATCCCAGTAAGGTTTAAACAATATTAATATTTTGATTCTCTTAGACTGTTTTTCAATAAAATAGCTGAAGGAAAAGTAGACTACATATCTCACTGCATCACATAAAATGTAAAACCTAACCCTTATATTATATGGAATACTATTTTATCTATTTATTTATGCTATTTGAATGTGTCTTTCACTACCTTTCAATTTACCCAACATCCTTTAGCCATACAGGCTGCTGTATAGATCACACAACAACCAACATGAAAGTTGTTTTGTTTGTTGGTTTTGGTTGTTTTCAGTAGTTATTTTTTCTGTTCAGATTTTTATAAAAACTGAGTCAGGAAAAAAGGGAGAGAGTCACAGGGGGAGAGGGGTCACATTCCCATTCACTGGTTACCTCTCCAAATGCCCACATTGACCAGGATTGGGCTAGGCCAAAGTCAGGATCCAGGAACTCTATCCATGTCTTCCATGTGGGAGGCACAAACCCAGTTACTTATTACCATCCATGTTGCCTCTTAGGGTATGAATGTACAGAAAGTTGGAGCCAGCTTCCAGAGCCAGAAACTCCAATGTCGAGTATAGGCCCTTTAACCACTAAGATTAGATGTCTGCTCCTGTCTAGAGTTTTTCTTCTCCTAGATATATAACGGCGTACTTTGTAATAGACATCTATTTCTTCATTAAAAATTTACCCCAAAACTAGATGGTATAAGGTAACACACATTGGATTATTCAGTTTCTGCGGGTTGGCAGTCTGAGCCCCTGAGCTGGAACTGCCACATGTCTACAGTCAAGATGCCTTTCAGATCTGGGATCTTGTCTAAAGGATTGATGGGAAGGATATGTGTCCAAGCCCACATTGCTGTTAGCATGATTCAGTCAGTACCTTGTTGCTTTGTTGAATCAAGCAGCTCAGTTCCTTAATGGTTGTTGGCCCAAGCTTCCCTCAGTTTCTTACCATATGGGCCTTTTCATCATGTTTGCTTTATCAAAGCATAAAAATGAAAAAAGCAATAAAATTTTCTGGAAAACTGGAAGTCTCAGTCTTTGTTATCCAATTACAGAAATGACATACAATTATTTTTGTTTATTGTCTAAAAGCCAGTAACTGATACTCAGGAGAGGGGTAATTACACTGATGGTGAATACCAACTGAGCAGAATAACTGAAGGATTGTTCTAGAAGATGGCCCTACCACAGTCTATAATGCCTTTTAAGATTCACTCTGAAATTTACCTGCTCTGAAATCTCTTCCTTATATTTTCAGATAAAAACTGTTTCTCAGTCATGTTTCAGAATATTACTATTTTATCATTGGTAGAGCACTTAACAGGTTTTATAAATTTTTCTCAGGTTTTGTTTTCTGAACTTTCTAAAAGTTTTCATGATATGAAAGTATGAATCTTATTTATTCTCTTTTCTTGTATTTTCTCAATACCCATGCAGGGCTTGGTACATATTTAGCACTGAATAAATATTTGCTGAATGGAATGAATGGGTTGTGCTAAGAAAAGATGCTATATAGAATTGTGATAATATTCCAACACAGCAAATTTCTAATTTTTATTTAGAATTAGTTAAATGGTTCTCATCTGTTAAATCATACTTCTTTATAATTTTTGATAGACTTTCTTTTTTTCCCCCATTCATCCATTGATGATTATCTATTCAACATCTTTAGAAAACTTAAGTTGTAGACAATCTACTGGGTGGTAGGGATACGGTTGTCCTTGTCTTTAGGAAGTGTACAGTTTGGTAGCAATCAGGCAAATAACTTTGACACAATCATGAAGGTAAATGATTGGAAACCTGGAGGTAAATGCTAAGAACAAAAGCTTTAGAATTCAAGCAAAAATTGACAATGGTGCTGTTTCTCCTGGTGTGCGTAGACAGAGGTTCATGAGAACACGATTGTTTTAAAGATTTATTTCTTTGAAAGGCAGAGTGACTGATGGAGAGGAAGAGACAGAGAAAGAGATCTGTCTGCTGGTTCACTCCCAAATCGCTGCAAAGCTTGGCTGGGTCAGGCAGAAACCAGGAGCCTTGAACTCCATCCTGACTCTCATGTGGGTATATGGGCCCAAGGAATTGGGCCATAGTCCACTGCTTTCCAAGAAGCACTAGCAGGGTGCTACATTGAAAGTGAGGCAGCAGGGGGGCTAGTGCTGTGGCTTAGTCGATAAAGCTACCACCTGCAGTGCCAGCATTCCTTATAGGCTCCTGTTTTTGTCCCAGCAGCTCCTCTTCTAATCCAGCTCTCTGCTTGTGCCCTGGGAAACAGTGGAAAATGGTCCAAGATCAGCCTAGCTCTGGCCATTGTGGCCATTTAGGGAATGGACCAGTGGATAGAACACCTCTCTATCTCTCTGCCTCTGCCTCTCTCTCTCTGTAACTCTGCCTTTTAAATAAAATAAATAAATCTTAAAAAAAAAAGAGGCAGCCAGGACTCAAACAGGTGCCCATATTGGATGCCAGTGCAGTAAGCGGAAGCTTGGCTTGCTACACCACAATGCCAGTCCTAGAGTACCTACCATTTTAAGCATTTATATTATAATGAGTGCAATTAAGGTACCCTGTAAGTATGTATTTATCTTCACACCAACCCCATGAGATTGTTATTATTATCCTATTAAAGAAGAAATGGAAAAAGCTAAAATTTTTGTAGTCTCACAAAGCTTGTGGGTGCAGTGAAGTAGAGATGAACACATGAGCACATGCATTTAATAATAAAAGCAGAACTTTGGATTAAGGAAAGCTCATAAATGAAGAGTTTGCATGTCTCACAAGCCCATATTTGCTGGGTTTGTCCTCACCTGGTAGAGGAACATGCCAGGTCCAACACTAAGGGTCCAGAAGTATCCCTACCCTAAAATGGAGTCTATCTTCATAAGGGAAATGTGAGTGCAAGATGTAATGCATTGGTTGGTTAATGTGATGTGAGGAGAGTTCTAGCTAGGGAAACAGCTTTGTTATAATTTACTAAAATTATATATACATACAACTTATCTAAAATTATATATATGCACACATATGACTCTGCTAATATCAGTAGATACTTTTTTTATTTCAAAGAAGTTATTCAATTTTGCAGAGCAACCTTTCTGTCAAACCATGAAAAAGGCCGAATATAGATACTTATGTGACCATCCAGGAAATAAGGAGCTCATGTCTCCCCACCAGCAGATCAAGATTCAGGCCTGGTCAGCTTGTCTTTGGAACTGCATCTTTAGGCCTTTTGTTAGAGATCATTAGGAAATGCAGTTGTTCAAATATGATTGGTTATGTATGACTTTAAGTTGTTGAATAGTGGGGTCTTTGAGATAAGAATTTATGATTATTCACACATTTTTCCCTTTTGAGTTTAGAAATCAAGTCAAACACAGGAGTCAAGAAATCAAGTCAAACACGGGAGTCAAGAAATTGGCACCAGCACCGTGGCCCCCCTGGCTAATCCTCCACCTGTGGCGCCAGCACCCCAAGTTCTAGTCCTGGTTGGGGTGCCGGATTCTGTCCCGGTTGCTCCTCTTCCAGTCCAGCTCTCTGCTGTGGCCTGGGAAGGCAGTGGAGGATGGCCCAAGTGCTTGGGCCTTGTACCCACATGGGAGACTAGGAGGAAGCACCTGGCTCCTGGCTTTGGATCGGCGCAGTGCGCTGGCAGTAGCAGCCATTTGAGGGGGTGAACTAACGGAAAAGGAAGACCTTTCTCTGTCTCTCTGTCTCTCTCTCTCTCTCACTGTCTAAATCTGCCTGTCCAAAAAAAAAAAAGGAAATTGGCATAAAAATACCAGCATCATTACTTATAGCCCTGAATTGGAGATTATTCTTTTGACCTGTCACAAGTCTAATAATATATACAAATGAATCTGGGATGGAGATATACAATGCAAACAATTTACCTAAAAGGCTGGTGAAAGCGTGACTGAGGAAAAAGGAGCAGTTGCAATAGAAGTCACAATGTGATCATTGGCTATTTCTGAAAGATGATCCAAAGATATACTTTATAGATACAGGGGAGTCAGTCTTTTGGACTGATCCTAGTCCAGTTATTGGGTGTAGGATTCTCCCTGATGACAAGCTGGGAACTTGGTCCCTTTAGGTCTGTTTTTACAGAACAATATTGTCAGCAGATCTTGACTATAAGTTTTCAGCTTCTAGGTACGTGGCCCTTTTTGTAAATTGAATTCACATACTTTGCATATCCAGTTTTGAGAAAACTTATAAGAGGATAGATAAAAATTGAGTTACTGCTCATGACACCATAGCTGGTCTCAGGTATGTAATTATTCATATTACTAAGTTTATTGTTTTTCTGCCTGAACTGGATTGTTTACACTCTAAGCTGACCTCTCTGCTTGCTTTGATGGGTCTACTCATCATACACTTCTTAGGTTGTCACTAAGAAGGGAGTAATAGGAAATATTCCAATGAATTATCTAGATTATATAAACAACAAATGTATTCTTTCCTGTCTTATTGTGTAAATGAGCAGGCCTGCTTCCCTCTGAAAATCTAGTCAGGATGATAACATCTCTTCTGGTCTCTTAATACATAAAGTACAATGTTTTATATGGCAACTGTGAGCTTATTTTCCTCTTAATCTGGTAGAATTCTACCTGCAATACCCAGGAGTTCCATATTGCAAACCCTCACTCCAAGTGATACATGATGAATTAGGCCATTTTGTCATCCCGGTTTCTCTGACCTATGTATTCTACAAATTTTATACACACATATGCAAAGTATATACATTATTTAGAGTTATATGTGCCCAGAAGAATTGGTACCCATTTTGGAGAAGTACCATCTCCAACTGGAAGTGTTTAATCTTAAAAGTCTGTTCCATTTTCCTATCAAGAAAAGTGGTTGCAGGGTGTGTATTATATGACAGAATAAATGGATATCATGATATGTGTGCTGATGTGCATCCTCTTCTAGATTCGTTATGATGCTGTGAATGATCTTATGTCAAGTGGATCACTATATAAATCTTTATATAGTGATATTGGTTGAAGTCCTGTAAGAAGAAAGGGAAATGTATCAGGTCCTGTCAAAATGAAACTGCCTGATACAAGGAGTCCAGTGTAATTCAGTTGTCTTCAGGTCATTCATTTGTCTCTTCTGGAAGTAATTCCCTAACGGATACACAACACTGAATTATGTTGGGTATGCAAAGGTATCCGAACCCAGATTATCCAATGCAGCCGAGTGTTCACAGCTCTATTGCTACTTCATTAATAAGAGCAGTGGGGTTGCTGAAGACAAGTGGATTGGCTTGAATTTGTCATGTCAAAGCTCTCCCCATTTTAGAATATTTCTCCCCTCTACTGGCTTTCAGGGACATATCTGAGTGTGGCTGTAACATAGAATAAGTGCATATTCACTTTGCCTCCATATGTAAGGGGTAGGCAAAAGAGTCATAGAAAAATACACAGTATGTAAAAGCCATGCATGGATTTAAAAATTGTTTTTGCATCAAGCTAAATTTATCTTTTAATTTAGTTTGCTATGACATTTTTGAAGTACACTCATGTAAGCTGAGCCATGTATGAACTAAGCTCAGACTTGTTCTGCTCATATCTATTTAAAGTGACCCATACCCTATCAGTGCCATAAAGATTTAAGTGACCGTATCCATGTGAGATGGGGGGACGTATTGGGACAACACTGGGAAAGATGAGAATCTGAATCACTTGATTTTAGAATCAATTTATGGACCTATCTGTACCTTATATGTTATGTAAAACTTTTGTCTTAGGATGTGTTTGTATGAACTTTTGACTTGAGAGGTGTATAACAGGACCTATTTATGATGGGTGTTGTCACTTGCTATCCTTTAAACAGGCTTTCCATCTTTACTAGTGCACAGTAGTATAGCAGGTGCTGTTTGCACATGGTGGATAATTCTTCACTTCCTATGCCATTGCCTTGATACAGAAAGTTAAACATTACATTATGGTGCTCCTGTTAGGGCTTCCATACTTTCTAAGTGATGTGATATCTATGCAGTCCTATGGCCCATGTAGAAGGCCCCCTTGCATTATTCTCAGTCTGTGGCAGATACCTTTTCTGGAAACTGAGCCTTCAAATCACTTGGAAAATAGGTTATAGCAGTAACACCAAATGTGGTATATGCTGTATTCACAATACAAAAATGTCTGTTAGGTTCTGCACTTCCTTTGTAATTGTGGCTGGTGCAAGATGAAATGTGTTGTCCTGTAATTATGAGAAAATGTACCCCAAGGCTTTGGATCACTGAAAGCATTATTGATACTATAGGTCCCCAAAGCTTTTTAGTGAGTACATCCCACCCTGCAGATCATACAGAATCTTACCAAGTCCTCAAACCCACTTTTGCCTCTTGCTCAGTTGATTTGATTACCATGCAGTTGGTCTAATGGACCAATTTGATTATCTACAGGATGCCTAAGACTGTCCGGATTTCTTGGGAGTATTCTATGAGACAAGAAGAGAGAAATAATGTTGACTTGGTATACTCCATGTAAATGTGAAGTTCTTTTGGTCTTCTTTTATAGTAATATTGAGGAAGATTGCATTAATCACATAAAGGAATACACAGTATATACCCAGATCCATATTACTATCCTCTTTTTTTAAATTTATTTGACAGAGTTACAGACAGTAAGAGAGAAAGGTCTTCCTTCCATTGGTTCACTCCCCAAATGGCTGCTACGACTGGTGCTGGGCCGATCCGAAGCCAGGAGCTAGGTGCTTCTTCTTGGTCTCCCAAGCAGGTGCAGGGCCCCAAGCACTTGGGCCATCCTCCACTGCCCTTCTGGACCACAGCAGAGAGCTGGACTGGAAGAGGAACAACTGGGACTAGAACCGGCGCCCATATGGGATGCCGGCGCCGCAGGCGGAGGATTAACCCAGTGAGCCACGGTGGTGGCCCCCATATTACTGTACTCTTACAGAGATAGCTTCTCTGGTTCAACAACAATCTGGATTATTTACTTCAATTTAAAGTCACTAATTATTTCCTATAGATTTTTTCATTGTTTTTAAAAGGGCTGGAGTGGTGAATAAATGAGAATATAATGGAGATCAAAATCCTGTTACTTTTAAGGCAGCACCAGCCTTGTTTATTTCTTCAGGTATGTGATATTGTTATTTAATAACTTATTTAAAGAAACGACAGTTATGTAGGCTCACATAATATGCTACCTCATATCTTACAGGCCAAGGAAACCATTTGGGTATTATGCTAACAAGGATGTCAGTTAGACCTTTAGCAATTCAGCCAGTGAAGACAAGGTAGCGGTTTTGTGAACTTAGTGATCCCTATCCTGTTAAACTTGGATCATTTCTATAATTATGCTCGGACTTCCACTCCGGCAAAGTTCAAATTTGCCCAGTGTATGGTTTCCTGATAAATAACCTGAATACTTTTTAGAATGGGGTAGGAGAATTATAATTATTTACATATAATTTGGCTTCTCAGAGTTGTTCTTTATAGGAAATTGAGCCCTATTTTAGTCAACAATTTAAATATTTTGTTGGAAATCTGACCTTGCTCCAGAGTGGGTACAGCATCATTAGATTTAATGGTTCCCATGCTGAGGCTCCTGATGACATATCTGTGATTCATCGGAATTGTACAGATTGAGCTATCTCCCATGTCATATATTTTATATATAAATATACATACATATATACATAACTAATCTTTGACTCTGTCTTATTGAAGTCTGTGTCAGCTTCCATCTTGATTTCACTGACACTGATGTTTACTACAATACGCACATTTGTTCTGATAGTTAAGAATCATCCCATGACCTTCCTTCAGGAACCACTCATTGGCGTTCCCATGGCTATACCTGAAAACATTTCTGTATCAGCTTATCCAATCACCTTTTGTACAGAGTCTGTGGAGAAACCAATGCTCAATTTCTCACCAGTGAACACCTTGTTGTCTGGATGAATGGATTATCCTTCAGGTCTTCCTTAAAATACACGTGATTGGTGCCATCCTTGTTGAGTTATGTTGTCACTTAAAAATGTATATTTTCTGATGGACAAAGTGGGAGAAGTGATGGGGATTCTGAGGAAGACAAATCTTATATTTTAAGGAAGTGACGGGAAGGTTTTTTTTTTTTAAACAAGGGGCATGCAAAATTCTAACACACTTCCCCAGAGGATTCCGAAGAGCCCCAGAGTCCAAGAAGATTTAAGAGATTTCACAATCTCAGTAATTCCAGATCATTTTTTTGTGCATTGATGTGCACATCTCCAACCCAAATATAAGGAGCCAAGTCTTGCACAACAAGTGCTCTGATCATGGTGTATTGGAATTACTAAGACTGAAGGTTGAATTTTCTCTGGCAGCATGTTACAACTGTAAATCCTGACCTTAAGGTTTAGCTTTGTGCCTCTAAGTATAGGAGACAGAGGTGTACTTTAAAAAAGGAGATTTATTTATTTGAAAGGCAGAGAGTCAGAGAGGGTGGGGGAAGGAGGGAGGGATGGAGATCCATCTTCTGATGATTTGCTCCCCAAATAGCCACAATGGCTAGGGCGAGGCCAGACCAAAGCCAGGAGTTAGGAGCTTCTTCCAGGTCTGCCTCATGGATGCAGGGGCCCAAGCACTTGGGCCATCTTCCACTGATTTCCCAGGTGCATTATAATGCAGGGAGCTGGATTGGAAGTGGAGCACCCAAAACTCAAGCCAGTGCCCATAAAGGATGCTGGCATCTCAGGAAGCGGCTTTACCTGCTACACCACAATTCCAGCCCCAAAGTTGTACATTTAAGTTACCAGGAAATACTATACTTTAAATCACCGTCATGTATTGGTGGTAAATTCACCTGCACTTGCTGTTCTCCACTTGGCTGATCATTGTTAGTAATGCCCTTAGCAATTATATTTCTCATAATTTCTATTCTCCTGAAACTCTCAGATATCTAAACTCTTGATGCTTCTGTGTAGTCCAGTTCATCCTTGGGATACCAGTCAGTTCAGCATTGGCACTTACCCTGCTATCTCATGACAGAGACCATCAATATTTCACATACCTCAGCAATGAGACTCTTTGTCAACTAGACATGAATAGTCCATCTCCCGAGTCTCGTTTTTAGAAATTGTTTCCTCCTCCTCACACCTTTTGGCATAATCTTGGTCTCATAGAAAACAATCTTAAGAATATTTTGCAAAGCTTTATGGAATAATATCTTTAAGCTCTTCAGAGATAACTTAGATTGAAGTGGTAGGGATGAGGAGGGGAGATAGAGAAGGAAGCTTTGTACGCAAGCATTAAATAATCACTGAAAGCAAACTAGGGGAAGGAAAAACAATTTTGAGTAAACAACTCTTTTTGTGTAAGAAAATTTTTCAGGTGATTCAGCTATGGCCTATTCGATAGATAACACTGTCAGTCCTGAAGGGAGTACATGAGAAGGATACTGCAGTGTTTATAATTATATCCATGGTGAAATGGTTTTACTACAACTTTACCTGTATAATCAGATATAATACCTATTTCCTCCTCTTTTCTACACACACACACACAGCCTTTATGTGAATAAGGGCTGCCATTGTACTTTTCCACATAATTTCAGAACCTGCACATTTTGAAGAGAGTTTATTTAAAGGATGACAAAATACTGTAATGACTACATTAACATTAATTGTTCTTTTGTGCTATCTTCCCAATCATATAAATCACGCTTTTCCCATGGAAAGGAGGAGCAAGCAATTAGAGTGCCCAGCAGAAGAAGACAAAACACAAAATGAAGACGTGAGAATGGAATACCATTGAATACTCTCTAATTGTTTGTACTCAGTGCACCTCAAACCTAGCAGTATATTAGATTATCTCAAATAGATTCTATAATGCACTCGTAACTGGTCTCAGCACTGACCAGTTAAGTCAGAATCTCAGACAATGGTTCTGATCCACTTCTACGTTCTAAATGCTTAATAAATAAATCTAAAATCAGTAATTACAGTTACTGATTATGCTTCAATCAACCACTGCTGTAGCTGCATCCCTGAACCAGAGGAGACCAGCTGTCATAAGTCAATGTTTATAATCCTGCTGGACCAGTACAAATCATTGCTCCTTTGTGAATCTTTTTGGAACCATTGGAAGACAAGTTTCTTGTTTGATCCTCAGTAGGCTATGACACAGATGAAGAATGCACTGCTTCCTGAGCAGAAAGAGTAATCTTTATTCTATCTTCCATCTTGAATTATTCCTCAAAAAGTGTTATGAGTCTAAGTGGCAACATAAAAATTCTATGAATATTTTAAAATTAATGATGGTAAAAAATAATGAAATCATTGAGTCCTTTAAAACTATTAAGAGTCCATGGAGAAATTAATGTTCAAGAAATAAATTATCTTCTCTGTTTAAATTAAGGAAATAAAAAGTCCATATATGTTAAACAAGTGCTAAATTAAAAGTTTAATTTTTGTTCTGTTAAATCTTTAGCTAAAATAATATCACTGAGATATTTGGATAGTATCATCATTCTTTCATTTCAATAAATAGAACCTTACAAGAACTTTGAATATGGTCTTATCTCCAAACCTCTGATATGTTCAACATTTTAAAATCTGAAGGACTTCTTACATAGCTTAAAGTTACCATATATTATTCTTCATAAGTGCAAACTCTAAACACAGACAGCAGTCCTTACAGAATCACTTAATGTTCCCAAAGACCATGGGAGCAGCAGGTGTTTGGAGCAGGGGTTAGGATGCTTGTATCCTTTATTTGAGGGACTGGTGAAATCCTGGCTGCCCTGTTTCTGAACCAGCTTCCTAGATTATGGCTCGAGTACGTGGATCCTTGCTACCCACATTGGACACCTGGATGGAGTTTTATTAGACTCCTGATTTTGGCTTGGCCCATTGCTGACTTTTGCAGGCATTTTGGGGGAATAGGAGATTGATCTCTATTTCTCTCTGCTTCTCGATCAAAATGAAAATAAATAAATAAAAAATTTTTAAAAGACCATAGCAGAGAATTAGTCATTTCTGATGGAATGAATTAGAGGAAAAAAAATTCTGGTTGTAACCTTGTCAGGATGAATATATCTGTACAAGATTTCCAGAATCCACAAGTCATGAATTTAAACTCAATTAAGATAATTACCTAACAGGAAGTTAAATGTTATGAATCCATCCAAGGGATTAGAAAACTTCCCAAACTTCCCTGCTGTTTCATATTAAGCATATTTTAGAATCTATTCTCATGATGTATATTTTATATAACATATCCATTTTCCCCTGTAGAATTGTAATATGCCTTGTTGAAATGTAGATTTTGAATTGATATATTTGGATTTTGGTCTAGGATTGTCTTATCTAATGATCTCCTAGGGCTTCCTGAAGACATAATTCTGAGGATAACACTTCCAGTACCCATGCCTTAAAGCAATGAGTCTCAAACTAGAGATTCTTTAGTAGAAGCATAAAGAATACCTGGAATCTTGTTAGGAACCCAAATTCTCCGACTGCATACAAGATATTCTGAGGATTGGGTCCTAGTAACCTGTCTTTTAATACTCTTTTAACACATTATTCACATTATTCTGGGAACTACTGCTTAAGAATATTGCTATTCTTTCTTTCATAGCCTTATTGAGGGGTAATTGTTAGAAATTACAGATAAGTACACAATTTGCAACCATCAATACGATCAAGATAATGAACATATCAAACAATCCTCTCCCTCTCCCCAAATAATATATTTCCCCTTGGTAATCCTTGGCCTGCTTTAAACATCTGTTGCCGCCCCTTCCCCAAAATGAAAGTACAAAGACAAATTGTCCTATTTTGGGCTATTACAGATTACTTTACCTTGCATATAAATAGTTGCATATAAATGGGTGCATAGATACTATGTGCATTTTTGGGGCTGGTGGGAATGAGTTTGCTTCCTTTCACTGGTTTGTGATTCCTGTTGTGATAGGTGTCAATGGTCTATTCCTAAACTATTTTATTCTAATTAATATTTGCCTATTAAACATTTGGATTATTTCTAGTTTTTAGCTATTACAAATAAAGTCACTAAACAGGTGTGTGTATATATACATACATACATATTTCTTTATGGACATATTTTTGCTTTTCTCTTGAATAAATAACTCAGGTTAGTATGGTTAGGTCATGGGGTTGGCACTGTGGCATAGTGGGTAAAGCTGCTGTCTACAGTGCCAGCATCTAGATGGGCACCAGTTCAAGACCCAGCTCTTCTACTTCCAATCCAGCTCTCCGCTATGGCCTGGGAAAGCAGTAGGTGATGGCCCAGGTCCTCGGGCTCCTGCACTCACTTGGGAGACCCTGAAGAAGCTTCTGACTCCTGGCTTCAGGTTGGCCCCGGTCCAGCTTTTGTGGAAATTTGGGGAATGAACCAGCCAGATGGAAGATATTCTCTCTCTCTCTCTCTCTCTCTAAGTTTACCTTTCAAATATATATATAAATCTTTAAAAAAAAAATGGTTAGGTCATGAGGAAATTAATGCTTAGGTTTTTAAGACACAAACTTTTCCCAATGATCATATTTTGCTTTCCTATCAGCATTTTTCCTCATATTCTCCAACATGATGTATGTATGTTTTTTTTCAAATTTTAGAACTTCTAACTGGTTTATATTCATTTCATATCTATACTCATATTTTAAGTTACATTCATCTAATTAACAGAATTGACTATTTCTCTCAGCTTGTTTTTCCATCTCTAAATCTTTTTCTTACATGCTTGCTTATAGTAGATTTGTACATATTATCTATACAAGTGTTTCATCAGATATATACCTTGCTAATATTTTTAAAATTATTTTTATTTGAAAGGTGGGAAAGGGAGAGAAAGAAAGAGGGGAAGAGGGAGAGGGAAAGAAAGAGAGATCAATTGACCTCTCATCTTTCATTTCTCTCTCCAAATGTCCACAACAGCCAGAGCTGGGCCCAGCTAAAACTAAGACCTTGGAATTCCATCTGAGTCTCCCTTGTGGGTGGTAAGGATTGAAGTACTTGAACCTTCATCTGCTGCCTTTGAGGATACATATTGGCAGAAAGCTGGATCAGATGTAGCGTAGCCAGCATTCAAACCAGGCTTTCTGATATGAGACACCGGCTTAGTAAGCCGTGGCTTAACCTGCTGCAGTACCTAACCTAGTCTGTACATACAAGTTAATGTGAGATGAACTATATACATAAAACTGAAAGGCATAAAACCTATTTAAGAGAAAATGTAGAAAAACAATGTAATACCTTTTGGGTAAACATTTTTTGAATCAGAGCACTAAGCACAACCACACAACCATCAAATAAAACATAAAATAGCCTTTGAAGTTTTAATGTAATCATACAGATAGGATTAAGTGTTTGGCAATAATAATAGATATAGTTAAAAAGGAGGCCAGCGCCATGGCTCAATAGGCTAATCCTCCACCTAGCGGCGCAGGCACACCGGGTTCTAGTCCGGTCGGGGCGCCGGATTCTGTCCCGGTTGCCCCTCTTCCAGGCCAGCTCTCTGCTGTGGCCCAGGAGTGCAGTGGAGGATGGCCCGAGTGCTTGGGCCCTGCACCCTATGGGAGACCAGCAGAAGCACCTGGCTCCTGGCTTCAGATCAGTGCGGTGCGCCGGCCGCAGCACGCCAGCCACGGCGGCCATTGGAGGGTGAACCAATGGCAAAAAGGAAGACCTTTCTCTCTGTCTCTCTCTCCCTGTCCACTCTGCCTGTCAAAGAAAAAAAAAAAAAAAAAGGAATGAATGCTCCAACATAGGAAGCAGTCCATAAAGCAGACTCACAGAAGGACAATCACTTTAAGTAGCAATCTGACCTCAGCATTGGCCCTTAAGGGATTCTGTTTTGGCTGAAAAGCAAATGAGAGCATTTCAGGCATGGAAAGCCAAGACACTGTAGCAAAAAGTGTCCTACATGAAGGACTTCTGTGGGTGAGACACCAGTGGAAAAAGTGTGGCTATCAAAGAAGGATGTACTTTTCTCTAAAGGGAGGAGAGAACTTCCACTTTGTTTATGGCCTTGTATAAACACTAAAGGAGTTTGTGGATCCAAAAGACTTACATAGTCTTGGCAGCTCATGTCAGGAGACTCAGGTGACCACTGACATCATACATAAGGGTGTTAATTGTTAAATTAACAGTGGAGTCACTGTGCACTAACTTCCCATGCAGGACCTCTCTCTTCAAGGAGTTGTATCATGAGTCTTAATAATAAAACTTGTTCTCAAAGATTTACATTGTTTTAGTGTATTAAATGGAGGATATTCTTATGTCTCATAAGAGATAGTTATGTCTAAGTGCTCACAAAAGTATCATTCTTGGGTCCTTCTTTAAAGCTAATTAAGTTTCTCAAAAACAATGCTTAAAAATGTGAAATTAACTTCAAGATGCAATGACTTTGAACAGCCCTTGTCTCAACTGTTTAGGAAAAGGGTTTTTTTTTTTTTTTCCTCATACAATTTGTTGAACTCTTTACTTAGTATAGAGTTAACCTTATGTGCATAAAGTTAGTTGAAATAGATCTTAGTTAAAAAGTAAGACTGGGAATAGAAGAGGAAGGAGGAAGAGGGGATAGAGTGTAGGTGGGAAGGTGGGTACAGTGAGAAGTATCACAATGTTCCTAAAGTTGTATTTATGAAATGCATGGTTTGTATTATTTAAATAAAAGGTTTCTTTGGGAAAAATTTTAAAGATAATAAACTCAACTATATTTAAATTATTGACATCAAATTAACCATAAAGAAAATGAAAAAGTATACCCTGGTCTTGGAGATTTTTGCTGTACTACATCAGGCAAAGGATGCAGGTCCCAAATATATATGTGGATTTTCATTAGTGTAAACAACCTGGTTTGTAAATGGGATTATATATGAAAAATCACTTTGTAAAAGAGAAAAGTGAAATGATTAATACGGAAACCTTCTCCACATCATCCAAGAAAATGGAAAATATCATATTAAAATCATAATGAGATGGTAATACGTAACCATCAGGTTGTTTAACATGAAAAATTGGCAATAGCATGAGGAGGTGGACTCACAGAGCAGCCAGAATATTTACAAACTGGCAATATCTAAATCCTACAAGTGTGATGGAAAACTGAGGGAATATCATTGAAAGCTAATTATCACATTGGTATAAGATTGCACTACTTCTAGAAATCCCAGTTTTATACCTAACAGGAAAGAAATGCTTGTATCTAGCAAAGTATATATAGATACAATTTCAAGCAGCACTATTCACAGTAACCCAAAATTTGAATCAAGTTATATGTTGGACAATACAAAAATAATGAATTAAGAAGTATTTATAAAATTGAATAGTATTAGCACAATACCAAAAAGAATATTTTAGTATTTCTTCTAGCTTTAGTTTTTTACTTGTTGAACCCTTCATTTAATGGAGCGTTAAATCTTTAACTATATTGTAGATTAAAAATGTCATCTCAAATTCTAAAACAATAAATTGAGCTTTGTTCAGTCATTGATATAATTTTGTTTTAAACATTAAATTCATTAATAAAAATATTTCTGCTTTACATGATAAATTAACTTGAAATTATAGGTTATAATATAGGTTTCCTTTATTGTGTTATATATGATTTCTAAATTGATAGCTGATTTGTGGTTTTTAATTTTTTTTTTTTTGACAGGTGGAATGGATAGTGAGAGAGAGAGACAGAGAGAAAGGTCTTCCTTTTGCCGTTGGTTCACCCTCCAATGGCCACCCCGGCTGGCGCGCTGCGGCCTGCGCACTGCGCTGATCCGAATGCAGGAGCCAGGTGCTTCTCCTGGTCTCCCATAAGGTGCAGGGCCCAAGCACTTGGGCCATCCTCCACTGTACTCCCTGGCCACAGCAGAGAGCTGGCCTGGAAGAGGGACAACCGGGACAGAATCTGGCACCCCGACCGGGACTAGAACCCAGTGTGCTGGCGCTGCTAGGTGGAGGATTAGCCTATTGAGCCACGGCGCCAGCCGGTTTTTAAATTTTTTAATCATTAAGGTTATATAGAAGGAACTCCATTTACTTTAAATGGAATTGTCTACTTTTCATTTGTGTAGAGCTATGCTGATTTGATAATGTTTATTTATTGAGGTCAGTGAGTTTTGAATAAATATTTTTTTTTATTTTGGAAAAATTCTTATGTGATTAATTAACAAAAATTATACAAAGTCTATGAAACACTGTTTCATCTTAAGAGTATAGTGTGTGTTCTCTTTATGAATGGGTGGATATCTATATCTTTCATGCTATTTTAATAGTCTTGAAACATTTATACTTTATCTTGGTATTTTGTTTATCATGTTTATTCACATTTTCCATCTAGGATTTTACATTTTTATACTTCTTATTGTATTGCTAATAGCTTTTCCTTTATGTATATTGAGGCTGTTTGCTTAAGTATGTACAATTTCATAGCCCTTTTATATTCTAGGTGGGTTGTAGTTGTGTGAATACAACATATTCCTTTATTCTGTGTCCTCCTCTAGTGCAGTTTCCTCAGGAAGCAAGCATCCAAGAGGAAAGAAAATGGGCCTGGATTATATTATGGGAAATACCTTTGCTAAAGGAAGTAGGGAGGGACCTGGAGAAGGGTGGCTCAGTGACAGGTGTTCACTTTGTAATCCTGAGCAAAGGATACTGGGAGAATGCTGGGTGCAAACATCCTGGATTTTTGAGCAGTGTTAGGAAGATTCTGCAAAGTCATCAGTCTTTGAAGAAAAATCAGCTGACGATGGAATCCTTTATCTCCTAAGAACTGGGCTGATTTAGTATCTGTGAAGCATTCCTATAGGACATAGTCTCTGTGCCAATAGGGTGCTGCATTTTACAGCTCAAATTGTCCTCAGTAGCATAACAGGAAGGAATAGTCTTCTGGCTTCACATCTTAATTTAATGATACTGGCATGAAATTTTACTTTATATAATAATAATAATATTGCTGTGCTTACTTACATTTGTTAGTATGTATTTGCTATACAGGTGTCAAGCATCTATTGTGTTTTAGGTAAATCTCTTATAAGAATATTATCTTTTATATTCCTCTAAAACATTTTATTATATTAATATACTTGGGCTTACACTTGCTGTCATTTATCACATTTCTTTTTTTTTACAATATATTTTTCATCTGTTTCTAATATTTCATTTGGTCACATTAAGTTAATAAAATTTAATTTTTCTTATTTGTTTTACTGATTCACCATGTTGATGTCAGTCTAGTTCTTTTTTGTGAACTTTAATATTTTATTTAAATACTGATTAATTTGTAAGGCTGAACACCAAAGAGAGCAGGTGATATCTTCCACCTGCTGTTCATTCTCCGAATAGTTGCAACAGCCAGTACTGAGCCAGGCAAAGGCTAGGATCAAGAACTCCATTCTTGCCTTCTGCATAGGTGATAAATGTGCAAATTCCTGGGCCGTCTTCTGCCTTCTCGAGTTCATTAACAAGGAGCTGGATTGGAAGTAGAGCAGTGAGCACTTGCTTATGGGATGTGGGCATCACAATCAGTGGCTTAATCTACAGCACTACAACACCAGCTCCATGATACATAGTATTTAAGATGGCATATTGACATTTTTATCTTCAGTTATGTGAAATAGTATTTACTTTTCCATCCAATAATTTGAAGGTAATTTAAAGACCTTATGAAATTTTGAAGCCCAACATAGGAATGGAATCTGTCTATAGTCTATGAATAGCCTTTTATTTTGAATTAGAAAAAAAGTATAAAACAGTTCACATAAAGTAGATTTAGAATTATATTTGTATCAGAAATAATTTTATTTTACATTGTATGCTAAATAATTTGGGAAAAGGATTCTCATTATCATAACGTCTATAAATATATAGTCATCTGCCTCAAAAGACAGACCTCTTCAAAACTAATGTTAGAAAGTAGGGAGTTGATGCTTTCATTGTAATGTTAAATATCTGAGTGAATAGATATACCTACTGATTGGACATTGCACAAAGTACATTTCTACCAAAACATTGCACAGTAACTGTGGGGAGCAACTTGGACTAGATTGTTACTGGAATTAAGACTTATTCTATGCATCTGCTCTCCCACAATATGGTGCTGAGAAGGGAGTAACAACTTCTACACAGCTGCCTCTCGCCAACTTGAGTGATGACCTGCAGGAGCTGATCCTGCTCCTGATTGGAGGAGAGCAGCGTACTCGGTGTGTGGGTAGCAGAGTTGGGATTGGTGGAAGAGGACTATAAAGGAGGAGAGAGACAACATGCACCAGGAACATCTATCTGAAGGAACACCTGAGCAGCCCCCGAGAGAGCCGGCCGGCGGTGTGCCGCTCCCCCGCGGAAGTGGGGAAAGTGGCAGGGGGAACCGCCCTTCCACGGAGGTGGAAGGGTCAGTGGCCAACCCGGGAAGAACCAGCAGCCAACCTGGGGAGGGCCGAGCAGACAAAAGAACAGCGCAGGGTCCTGTGTCGTTCCTCCGCGAAGAGGGGGAGCGACAAGTAACTCCACAAATACATATACTTCTGATAATATTATAAATTTAAAAACTGTTTAAACAGATTTCTAAATATTTATGGATAAATGATATCTACATTACATAAATTTAACTAATATTGTTGAAAATATACTTTAAAATTTCAAAAAATGAAAATAACTTTTCACATTTAGCTCATGTGTGACCCTTTGATTCGTTCTATCACAAAGTTGATTGAGGTTTTTTCACCATTATAAATAACTAGAAAATGATGTCAAGTTGCCAACCTGAAAATTGCACTAAGAAAATCTATCAGAATGCAATTAAAAAGAATGTTGTCAAATTTTCCTGTCATATATTCTTTCTGTGTGGGTGGTCTCTAAGCATGAGATCTATTCTTGACATTTTGTGCCAGATGACAACACTAATTTTGATGTCATCTCTTAATCATTGAGCTATATTAGTTAGTTTATTCCATTTGAATACCAAGCAATTTTTCTCATTTTCTATTTACATCTACTTATTGTAAAGTGCAAGACATGCAACTCTATAGATTCTATAAACTTCCTTTGGAAATGGAAGATACTTGAATTACCAAGCTACATGTATTGATATGTGCTTGGAAAAGATAGACAACTCTTAATCTAATGAGATTATTATTTCCTCTGAAGGATTGTTACAACATCTGAAAGGCAATAATGCAAGAAGCACAATACTAGTCTCAAATTTAGCAAAGACAAATTTCTTATTCATTAACCCAACGAATACTTTGAAGCACCTACTATGTGTAACATGCTACATAATTATTGGGAATATAAAAATCACTAGTAAGTCAAATGGATGTACAAAAGTGTTTGCTTCATGTTAAACAGAAAAATAAAAAAAACCCACACTAGTTTATCAAAAAAATACATTGTTGGGAGCAGGCATTGTGGCACAGCAGGTAAAGCCCCTGACTCCATTGCTGGCATCCTAAATGGGTACCA